CTTGCAGCAAAGAAGGCCAATGGTATCCTGGACTGCATCAAAAGGGGTGGCCAGCAGGGGGAGGGAGGTGACTCTGCCCTTGTGAGGCCCCAGCTGGAGTACTGCATCCAAGTCTGGGGCCCTAAACACAGGAAAGATGTGGAGAATTTGGAGAGGAAGGAGATGAGGATGATCTAAGGGCTGGAACACCTCTCCTATGAAGATAGGCTGATGGGCAAGCTGGTCTAGTGGTTGGCAACCCTGCACATAGCAGGGGGGTTGAAACTAAATTATCATTATGGTCCTTTTGAACCCAGGCCCTTCTATGATTCTATATGATTCTATGATTGTTCAGCCTGACAAAGAGAAGGCTGTTGGGAGAGGCCTCATTGTGGCCTTCCAGTGTTTAAAGGGAGTTAATAAATTTGAAGGAAATCAACTTTTTACATGGTCAGGTAGCAAAGGGGGAATGGTTTAAAACTAAAGGAATGGAGATTTAGATTAGATGTCAGAGAGAGTGCTGAGGCGCTGGAACAGATTGGCCAGAGTTTGTGGATGCCCCATCCCTGGAGATGTTTAAGGCTAGGTTGGATGGAGCCCTGGGCAATCTGATCCAGTACCTGATCTCACAGTTGAAACCCTGTCTGTCGCAGAGGGGCTGGAACTTGATGATCCTTGAGATCCCTTCCAACCCAAGATATTCTATGATTCTGTTGCAGAATGAGGCAGATTCTGGTGATGTTACTGAGAGTACTATTGGCCAGATTTGTACCAAAGGGAAAGATGCACTCAGAGAAGCACACAATCATCCCTAGGTTTGTCTGATTCAGCTGTGAAGAAATGTCTCTGACAGGAAATCACTTTGTCTCTGAGAAACCAAAGATGTGTCTTGCATTATCTTACTGTCATTGATTACTACTGACAAAAAGATGCTCTTCAGCAAAGTGGCTTGCCCTTGGCTCCTCAGGTTATTCTCTCATTTAGTTACCACCCTGTGGCTCATGGGCTTGTAACAATGCAAAACCACTCTTCATTCGATCTGGAGAGGAAGAGTCCCTGATTAATGAGGTAGAGAGGATTTGCTCAAGAAATAGTTTTCAATCCCAGCATTTGAAAGTCTTTAAGAATCATGAAAAGGTAAAGATAAAAGGGAGTGTTACAAGTGTTAAAAACTTAGGATTCTTTTTTTCCCTGCTTTTCAGAACATGCTAAAAGGAGAAACCCGTTATTTATAATGTCATGAGGCAAAGTGACAATTTCTTTTGTCAAGCTGCTATTCTGACAGATTGTAGTGAAAAGTGTCCTTTATATGAAAAAAACAATTTTCATAGGAAACAAACACCCAAAGTATGTGCAAAATATTTTATGCCCTCTTATGTCATTAAATTTAAGTGTCAGATCTTTTTGGCAAGCTCTTCAATAACATTGAGGAAGCTTTGTCATAATTTTTCTGAATCCCTCAAAATCAGAACTTCATTCATCTTCTTACATAACACCTTTCAATAAGCTAAAAGTTGCTATTCAGTACAGTTGTTGAACTTGAGAAATTTGTTTCTCACACGAGCAATCCTCCCCAAGCTGTAGTCCTTGCAAACACAAGCTTGAAGAGACCTACAATGAAAAGTTTCGTGACTAGAGAAGAACAGATTCTCAATAGCATTTACTCATTTGCTGTTATCTCTTCTTGGGACTCATTTTCTTGTACTTTCTCTAAATGCATGTCAGTTATTCACTAGAATATTCTAGCTGCTTTTAGTCAACCATCTGTTGCAAGGGGAGACTCCTGCTTAGTTGGAACTCCACATTTAGCCAGTAGTGCTGTATCTGTTGGACTGTCTGTTCTCTTCCATTACCACAGAGCTACTCTTCTAACTGTTTCTCTTGAGATCTGCATCAGGATTACATCCTCCTTGCTGATTCTTAACATCAACCAGAGAAAATAATGCTGAAATGGTGATTAATGTGTGGAACTGAGAATGTGTTATTTAAGTGCCAGCTTTTTAACAGGTTAATTAAAATACACAACTTGGTAATGGCTCTAACACCACTTTATTTTCCAGGTGACCTTTCCAGCTCAATCCCCTATGCAGTGGAACAGCAACGATAATGCTGGTTTTACTGAAGGCAACAGTAGCTGGATACCTGTTAACTCTGACTACCAAAGTGTCAATGCTGAAGTAGGTATTTGTGTGTGACAAACCAATGGTCTAAAAGTATCCTGCTGTATCTATTTTTCTTCGACTTCTAATGGGACCTGGCAGTGTAACAAAAACAAAACTCCAGGGGGGAAAACAGAAAAGCATTGAATCTTAACTGATTTTGTTAGGAAAAGAAATCCTTGCATCAGCAAAGAGTCTGCTTCAGCTGTAGTCATTTAAACAGAGCAACTGCAACGATAATGTTGATGTGGCAAGTTGACTTAACATCCCTTTAATCATTTTAACATTAAATTGAAATCCAACACTTTTCATTTATATTAGCGTATGTAAAGCACCCTCCTTGTAATAACTTTACACAGACTATTTGTAAAGTATATAAATACATTTTTTATAGCATTTGAGCAGTGGCTTAAGCAGATTTTGCTGATCTACAGTGCTGACCAACACTGAAGACAAAAATATAATGCAAAGACTGGGGAAAAAAGAAAAGAAAAGAAACCCCAACAAACAGGAAATAAATCCTATGACTTCAGTAGATCAGACTCAGTGAAGAAGGTTCACTATCAAGCTTTAAGTGGCTGTGGTTTTCTGTAGAACAAATGCTAAGCACTCTAACAGACAGCTGGAAGGTAGTATCAAGGAAATTCTGTCCTGCTGGATAATCTCTGCCACTGTACAAATCTCAAGAAAGTGCAGGAGAAAAAGCACTTTTGACATGGAATTGGCAGACAAATTTGAAGAGAATTAATTGTTAGAACTGAATTCTAAGAGGTTGTTCCTGGTAGATGGCGTGCGCGTGAGAGGTCCATCTCGTACAATGCTGACTCTGTTGCAGGTTCAGATGGCCCAGTCCAACTCAACCCTGAATTTGTACAGAGAACTAACTCTACTTCGCAACAACGAGCTACCCATACATCGGGGGTGGATGTGCTCCATCTGGAATGACAGTGATGTTTTTGTGTACGTGAGGGAATTGGATGGGTTGGACAGTGTCTTTATGATGGTTCTCAATTTTGGACAGGAATCGACAATAGATCTGAAAGCTATGGTTCCAAGCCTCCCATCTCAAGCTGTGATAAGACTAAGTACTAATTTTAGCAATACTGGTAACGCTGTTGATACCAGAATAATTAAAACTGAGGCAGGAGAAGGTCTGGTCCTTGAATATAAAACAGGAAAGCCTGTTCATAATATGGAAGCTTTTCAAGAAAACTGTTTTGTGTCTGAAAAAGCTTGTTATTCCAGTGCCTTCAATTTACTCTACATGAACTGCTAAATGCAAGCGTAGCTTTCATGTTAACTTAGAAAATGCTTGGTTCAGAGAAATGCTAATTCTTTTTGGCTTTTCAGGCTTGCTTTCAGTACACAATAAACAGCTTGAAAAATAAAATTAATACCAAATTGTCTTGTATCTGTACTGGGTAATAAACAATTTTGTCATTTAAATAGCGTTCACAACTTAGGCATTCATTTTGTATTATCTTCTGGAGGCACCTAATTTTTAAGATTCCTATGCTTTTATCTTATCAGATAAAAGATTTCTGCTACTTCTAAATTCCTGTTCTTGAGAGTCCCTTTTTTTTTTTTTTTTTTCAGTCTGGCCCCACCAAATGATTAGTACAGTGTAATGTACTGCATAGATAGGAAGGGCAACAGTATTTTCCTACATATGGAAAGTAGTTTGGGAATAATTTAGTGAGATTTTTTGATTAAATACAACTTTGGGGAGGGGATTTACTGCCTTGTGTAGAATTTACTCTTGGATAAAAGGTCATGAAACATTCATGTCTTTGTACATTAGATGTACATTCGACTTTCAGCACAAGCTGTCTTGCACCACAGCTCCACTTGTACAGTGCTGTACTGCTTGCTTATGAACAGAACTACATAGGAAAGCAGCTCCTTCTGTACCATTTGGTAGGGAAGGTATTTAGTTTAGTTGGGTTCTTTATAAACTGATGCCAAACCCAATTTTGTCCCTGCGTATCTGGTCTGTTTGTGCCCATAATGCAGTAATACATCTGGAGAAGACACTTTTTCATACAAATGAAAATCTGACTTGAACTTCTTTAGGTGGTGGATGTGTTTATCAGCTATTTACAGGACTTGATTTAATGCTGGGGATGTCACACTTGAAGTTCTTTTTTCAGAAAAGCAAGGTGTCTTGCAACCTAAAGCAAATAATTACAAAATAATGAAACTCTTTGCACTATAAACTGCCAAGGTTATTGTACAGCTATTACAATCTTTTACATACTGATACTAAGCAATACCTTGCCCTAAAACAAAATACAATTGCCACAATAACTAGCATTTGCTAGGATTTTTAAAATAAATAAATAACAGGAATAAAATCTGATAGTCTGAGACATGAGCAGCAAAATGACAGGTCTTGGCAGCCTGTTGCTTTCAGCACACACTCTGGTATTAAGTGTAAAACATTGAAACTTAATTGTAACTCATGTTCCAAAATGTAACACTCAAGCCCACCATATATACTTTATGAGGAAGATGGAAATAAATAAGGTCTTAATACTCTACAGTGCACGACTTTTCGTGCTGGAATAATATTTTTCACAACTTAGAGCCTTTCATTCAAAGCTCTTGGCACATCACAGTGGGAGTTTAATGCTGCCTTGAGGTTTAAAGCACAATGAGGTTCACTGATCTAGCTGTCAATGGCTCCTTTCCATATATAAATGCAAGAACAACCTTAATTTCAGCAGTTTTGGGGTTTGTTTCTGTTTTGTTTTTAATATTTAAAACATGCCTTCAGTGACTGCATCAGTTGCTAAGGTTTAAGTATCAGCTGAGGGATACCTCCCCACAGTGCTGTGCAAGTGTACAGTGAAGGGAACATACCTCAGTCAGTGAATCCTCCCAAGATGAGTCACAATGACTGCCACTTGCCTGGATGTCTAAGATGATATTAGGGATCCAGTTTCCTGGAACAATGAAACTACTGATCAATTGACACTGAATGAACAAAGAAAGGTAAGTGGGCAGTGCAAGTTGTTTAGGGATAGATAATTATTCTACCTTCTAAAAACATATTCTGATGTTTCTTAAAAAAAAAAAATAATAATCATGGATGGTCTTGCTGGATGAACTATTTGTATTTCTATTAACTGGGGATTTGAAAAACGTTCATGTATCCAATGTGTTCTTTCTTTGGAAAGGTAATCATTCTCATCATTCTCAAAGGTAATCATGCTCATTCTGAGCAAAAGAGGGTTCCTGGATTGTATTGAACAAACGAAGCATTTAAGGAAGAGTCAATCTCTAGTATTTAATTACACAACTAGTCTGCTTTAGTCAAGTCCATAGAGCTGTGATATTCTTATTTTACCTTCCTTTCCTGTTCTGCTGGCATGATCTAGTGTAGCCTTCCTAAGTTTCTGAACATACCGCAGAATTCCTGTTAGTGGCACTCGTTGATCATTTTCATATGCTGTGATAAAAACTGAAGGATAGCACTGAAATTAAAAACCAAAACCAGTTAGATAGTTGACAACTGATGATCTATTGAAATGAATAAGTACATTTTTCTCTATATATCCACGAGTTCTACTTCTTGTGGTTTATCTAAAATGAATCTATTACATAATTACTCTTTCTTGAAAAAGCATCTTGTATCACTAGCTGAAAAAAGCATTCTGATCTTAAAAATGACAAATTAATATTAGAGGATCATCCACTTGCAAAAGGTAATAAAAAACCATCCTCTCCCTACTGCTAAAGGTGTGAAACGTCTGCATGCTGATGATTACACAAAAAAGGAGTAATAATCATGGAATGGTACATCTTTAACAGAGCAGTAGTTGAGATTTACTTTTGTAATTTTTATATGCAAGAGTATTTTTAATATGGTAAGATCTATTAGCTATGAAACACAGCTAACATTCTTCAACTAAAGCTTTCATCTGAGATAACAGTATCAAAGCCATAGAGCTTCTTTTCCATTTCACTGTTTGTGTTTAATCAGTGCAAAGTGCCACCTTCCTGCTGCAGTGAAGTCTGGATAAGGCAGTAAAACAAAGGAAATACTGAAATAGTTACTGATTGTGTTAATGATTTTAACATGAAGTTAACACAAAGCAGCAGCAAAGTTTTAAAATGTTGGATTGTAAAGCAATGAAAGAGTAAAATAGATTTATATTTTTTAAGTTATCTTTTTTTTTTTGCAATTATTTTCCTATGAAGCACTATATCTTACTACCCCTTCTGTGTGGAATACTACAGTAGTTTTACCTGTGGCTTAATATTGTGATAAGGACAGTAGTTTTTGATGTACTTCATACATTTTTCATCTGCTAACGGATTTCCCCATTCTTCTTGTTCTTCAATTGACAGTGGGAGATGAGTTTTCATCATTGTATTCAGAACATCTACAAAAGGTGCCTTAAAATTATTAAAAAGGAAAAAAAATAAGGGAAATTTTGAATTGGAACATTTCAATTTCTGAAACTGGTAAAAAGCAAAACCAAAACAGAATACAGCTAAATGCTATAATGAAGGATCTGCAGCAGCTCACCTGTAAAACCATGGCTCTGATAAGTTCTGGATCGCTGTTGCAAATGGCTCCCGCAAGAACTCCTCCAGCACTGGCAGCTGTTAGTGCTGTATATTTTGGCTGAGAAAATCCTAGTTCATGCAGCAGCATGATGCAAGCCTTAAGGTCATGGAGACCTTTGAGTTTGTTCTGCTGACATCCATCTTTGTGCCACCTGAGGCCTAGCTCTCCTCCACCCCTGGAATTTAAAACAATTCAAGTTGGAGTCTGTTTGGAAAATGTTGCAAGTAAATCTTCACATAATAAAAGACAGCAGCAGCCACAGAATTGCTAAATCACACTTTGTCTTTCCAGTTAACTTCCCTTTCTTCCTGTCTTTACCCACTCCTCCCCTTGCAGCTAAAACACACTATGTACAAACAAAAAAAAATCCTCACACGATGACTGGTGAAAATGCTATCAGCAGTGTCAGAGGAGTCAATACAAAATCAAACACTGATACAATGTTTTTGTAGGAAACTGTGAAAATGGTAACTGAAACATCTTCCATTTTTATATCACTATCACCAGATTTATTATTAACATTAAAAGACTTTCTCAGCTCTGCCAAGATGCTCAAATTCTTTTGTGCGGCATAAGATTTGAGACTGTCAATAAGGTTCATTTTTTCTAGTTTGAGTTCAAAGATGAGAGGAAATGTAGTATTTTTTACTGTTTATAAAACTTCAATACTAAATTTACTTGTATCCTTTTCCATACAACCACAATTCTTGTTCTAATCCACCTAAAATGTCTTTATTCCAGGTTTATGTTTAAAATCAATCAAAAGATTATTCTGCCAAAATTTTTCATTGATACTGCTTAGGATTGATTTACATCATAAGACATTTGCAAAGATGGGAGGAAGAACTGCACAATGCTTGCCATTTTATTAGCAGACTCTATATATTTGTATGTTGGATTTGTTTAGGAACTGGTATTTCAAACAATGCTCCTCTATTCCTAAAGTGACAATCTTCCCTTGTCCACTGAATTGTGCCTCCAATATAGTCTGTTGTATGACCTGTTTTTATGAAACTAATGGGTTTGTAGCTAAACTGGGGACAGGATTTAGTAAGTAGAAAAATACAGAGGCAGGTTAAATGTTTAGCTGCAGAAAGGCAAATGGTTTTCAGAAGGCACAGACTTAGCATTAGTACACAGTGCCCTCAGGAAAGCAGGTGGTAGCTTATCACTGCCATTTGAACACTTTGAACATTTGAACAGGTTTTGGGGTTTTTTTTGAGCAAAGAAGAGGTGAAAAATAATGAGACTTCAAAAGATTAAAACTTAATACATCATCACACTGTTGACATAAGAACATGAACACAGTACATGGAATTAAAAGTAGATTATTTTTCCCAGAGGAAAATTTATTTTTTGTTTTAAAAAGGATTTTTGAGAATTCTAAAAAGAGGTAGAAGTGAAAAACATGAATTAGAACTAAATGAGGGGGGGGAGAGGGAGAGGGGAGGAAGGAACATTTCTGTACCTCTTCAGCTGTAGATCAACAAATATCAGAATATCCCACAAATGAAAATATTAATTCCATTTTATATTTGACTTACCTAACGTGGCAATATGCTAATATCCAGCCCTCTTCAATTAACATCAGCTTCTCTTCTCTAAAGCTCATGTTCAAATCTATGCCATAAGCTCCATATACATGAACTAGAAGTGGCTTCCTGTGTAGCTCTTTAGAATTCGTATTATGAAAAACTGTAATTGGCACCAAAGTTTCATCCTGGAAATGAAGGAGTATTTCAGACATTTCAGAAATCTCAATGACACATGGCAATGAAAACTTCAATTATTTATTTTAAAATGTGTTTTTTTGATTACAGTAATTTTTTTTCACTTAGATTGTACAAAGCACTCTTGAAAAATAAAGCAAGAGACTGAACCTCTGCTGTGTAGGCTTATAGATGCAGAGTATAAAATTCATTTAAGTGCAACACCTGAGGAGTTTTTAAACCACCAAAGCACCCAAGTCTTCCTTCTCCCTTTAACGCAGAGAATATCTATTATTAACAAAATAGTTTACCACTTACTGCAGCACAAACTCTCTATTAACATCACCATTTTTTTAAACTCAGGCTGTTAAAACTTTCTTTTCTTGATCTGTGCTGTGTAGATGGTTGTGGGGTGTCCTTCTCAGCAGCTGACATTTTTCTCATTTATCATAGATACCAGGATACCATACATCTTTTAGTGAGTCTGAGTTATGCTGTGCTGAGTTTCTTGACTGTTATCTTCTCTAGCATGCCCAGATCAATGAAAAAAATCTCATCACGACTTTCTTTTTCTCCTCTATAGCACTGGAGAAAACGCCCACTGGTAAGTACAGCACCAACTGCTCTTTTACATTTTTAATCTCTATTCCCTGCCAAATGCATTTTCTACAAATGGGTGGGGAGGAAGGGAAGAATAAAGGGAATGGGAAAAGGACTGAAAAATCTTACCTTGCTTTTAGCTAGTAAACGTGTAGTGTGACAATTCATAATAATTGGTACCTCTTCTGCAGCTTGTTCAATGAGATTATTTTCTTTAAATGAATATGCAAAACGCCTTGGGGGGTGTGCTGGGGAGGTGAGCTGAAAATAGCAAGTGCTGCTGGCGTGTTCAGGATGAGATTCCAATTCAAAGGCACAGGCCCATGTAGGTAGCTGAGAAAACAGAGCGTTTCAAGTGAGACCTTTACACGGCTTCTATAAGTTCTGCCTAGCGTGTCCTACAGAGGAAAAGATTTTGAATAGCAAGCTAATTATCTGCAGCTTGGATGTAGCACAAGCTGTATTTCTTTTACATTCAATAATAGAACGGTCAGAAAGTGGTAAACTTTTCACTTGAGGCTATTGGATAAAATTCAATAATGAGATAAAACAGAAAAATAAATCTAAATTAGAATCCAGTTTAAAATGGGCATTTGTACAGATTTTTTTTTTTAATAAAACATTTGAAATGATTCTGCACTGTTTTTAATTTTTAGATCCCATTTCCCCTCTGATTTCCACTCCTGCTTGAACATGTTGCACAGCCAAGTCCATGTCAGTTGTTATGCTTTTGCTGTGAGTTAGCTCAGTAATGCTAAGCCACCAAAAACCCCTGCCTCTTAACTTTGTTCTTAGTGCCAGCCATTGTGAAGAACAAAACCTTTTCCTGGCACATTTACCCTCAGACACTTACTGCTATTATATTTAAGATTTTTAACTTCACTAAGAATAAAAGAAATCAAGATTCATTCTTTGTGAGCAGCAGGAACATAGTCAAACCCTCTGCCAGGCCATTGCTTGCTCGAGTTAGTTTGTGAGAGATTTCTGAAATGGCACTAAAGTCAAAGTTCTCCAGAGTAACTGCAGACTCTCTCTGAATAAATAAACTAAAACTATTTTGAAAAATGAAAGGTTTCAGAGACCATGCAATGTACTTTGCTGAAAACCTTTTCTCTGTAGCAGTTTTATAGAATGCAGCCTTGGAAGCTTGTTGGAATAAACTTGCAAGTTCTTCAGATAGTACTTCTCAGGCAAACAAATCAATTAAATATTTCAGCTAAATGATCTCTAGAAGCTGTGGTTTTGAATGGAGACCCTTTATTTGTATTCCACAAGTATTTTGCAACATCTAGAGAAATGAAGAAATACTTGACAGAAGTTGTACTGCAATACTAGGTTTTCCTATTCATTTTAGGTCAGTGACCATATTTGTCTTTTCGATGTTCTAGCCTTTAATCTCAGGGAGGGCTATGCTTATTTCCTTGCATTGGCTGATGAATGTAACCACAAAATCAGCCCGATAAAAATACAGTGTTTGGGGAATCAAGGCTTATTTTACATTAGAAATTGACTGTATTGTGAAGAGTTTGATGGTAGCAAGTTGAGGAAAGAATGGACTTGTACTATAGCTGCTCTTTAACTTCATAACTGCTACAATAAGCCAGCACGTGTGAAATTGTGAAGAACATCCACAGGTAATATAATTAATCATAATGATGTTTTTGTCACTATTAGTTTCCAAACCACTTCTACTTTAGTAATTTATCTTTTATTTTGTAATGCTACATTAAAAAGAAATAGTGCTGGAAAAAGCACGTTGCTTGAGCCAAGCTAAAACATACCTGTGTTGATTGAACTGAATGTGAAACAAAAGCAATCACGTTTAAGTACAGACAGCCACCTTTCTGCAGGAACATGATACAGTGATCACGGAACATCTCCAAGTCTATTAGCTTGGTTTTCTCTTCCAGTGCATAAACTAACTGCCAGTTCTCCATGCCAGTGGAAGCTACTGAAGCCTTCATCAACTACAAGAACAAAATACAAGATAAAGAGTTATAAGTTAGAGGTACAGTCATACAGGTGATGTCACTCGCCATTTTAATTACAAAAGATTATTGATGACTGAAACTGGAAGGCTTTAAATTCCCTTTACTTAGGCAAATAGGAGAACAATTCAGTAACTGCCTATGTATTGATAGCAAGAGAGATCTGCGTTACAGATGGCAATTAGATGTTACAACTCTATTTGCAATTGTATGGTGTTCCTTTATGACAACTAAGTTGGGTTTTAGAAGCAGCATAACTGGAAGGTTGGATCAAAGCAAGCTGAATGAATGTACTTTATTCTTTTTTCCTTAGTTAGGGGTAGGGAAATGTTTAAAAAATAAAAGATTGTGACATTTGAGTGACTGCAATGTACATTCTTGATTTGGTACACAAGAGCAAGTTAGATGTATACTGTGTTAAGAGTAGGTCATCTTTCCATATCTGATGCTCAGCACTACATGCAGGACAAGACGCTCTCAACTGAGCAGTAAGGCATTTTCTCTCTCCCAGGAAGTGGCGTACTTTTAGCTGTCAAAGTAAGGCTGCCTCTGAAAATGTCTGAATGCGATTAGAAAAACCGATGCTGAGAGAAACAAATTTATGGAAAAATTTGTATCTAAGTTATTTGCAAAAGTAATTTCAAATATCAGATGCCTTCACTGTGTCCGGTAGAACTGTGAGCTGTTTGGTTATATAGACTGAAATCAAATTATAATAAAGGGGAAATGGGGCTGTTTACACCAAGAAGTGAGTGCGCTTTTCCAAAGAAGCTGAGTCAAATCAGCATGCTGTAGGCAAGACTTCACGTACTACTGTCAGTCCTTAAATCCATGCAACTCTGTGTAATTCTCTTAAATTATTTCAGTAAGCTGTGAAGCACAGAATTAAAATCTAGCTTTACTATTTCTGTGGTCTGCAACAAGCGTCTGAATGAATCCTATGACTCTTATTATTGCTTAAGATTACCTTATATTCTGCAGGTTCTCCATATGAAGTAAGAATATATAACTCATTGTTTCTGTGCTCAATGTGATAAATGACCCCTTTTGTTCGGGCTTGCACAAGAACAGGTAACTTAAAAGGATGTCTGCAGTCAATCAGCCAAACTTCTGAGGTTGTCTTGCTGTTGCTATTGATAGTGAGGAAACGTCTATCTTTTGTGCAGTGTATGTCCACAAAAAATCTGAAAGAAATAACACAGTTAATTCAGAATCATGGGCTTCCAATTACAATGTAAGAAACAGCAAGCCTGTATGTAGGCTGGAGAGATTTCAGACTACTTGATTCCCAAACCCACTTTTGCTACATTTATCCCAGCATTCAAAAACCCACAGTTTTGGGTATGGAACCTGAACTCTGCAAGGAAAGTTGTTCAGTTGTTGTCCAAATGTATCCAGATTTTTGAATCATTCAGATTGAAGGGTGTTAGATGTACATGGGCTTTAAAATTCATGCAAAACAGATTTATTTTTTTTTTTTTTTTTGAGATAGTAGCCCTATTTTTAAAAAAATCTGAAGAATAATTGAAGTTAATAAAATTAATGAGTAACATGTGGAAACTGCAATAAAAAAGTAGGAGCTATTATACTATAAGGGCAAATAATTAAAAAGCCCAAGTGCTACTGATGTAAGAAAATAAAGAAAAGCTTAAAGGAAAAAAAAAACAAAGAACACAGGCCTTTATAAGACAGGATGGACAGTGCTGAAGTGACAAAGTTGCAAAGTTGGAAAATGGGAACTGTTTCTGGAACTCCATTAATTTTAAATCCTTCTAAAATCTAGGAACAGAAAATGTTCAGCAGTGTCTGGATGCTAATATTGAACAAGTTCAGGCTGTAAGTCAGTTTCAAGTTTCTAAATGAGTCATGCTAATTAACTGATATGTCAAATCTTTGGGCATAGGAGTTTCTGTGCCATTTTGAATCTTTAAAACTAGTTGTCTTTAAAAGAAATTGCAGGGTTGAGTAATGTATTCTGCACTGACAGCAATAATGAACCTTCTAGACTTGAAAATATTTGACTGGTGAAAGAAAGGAAGCCTTGGATAGCATTTTTCACTGCCTTTAATTATTTGCAGGTGTAGGAATTCCAGTTTTTTGGTACAATTGTTTTGTCTAATTGCACCATCTTGACATTTTTACAACTCCCACTGTGTGTGTCCTCCTAAAGTCCACAAGTAATCAGTTTTCTGCCTCTAATCCACTGAAATTCAGCAAGTGTGCGCCACTGCATTCAGTATAGATTCTAACAGTTTGGCTCTGTTGACCTTACCTCTAAGAGAGTCAAGCTGAAATGCAGGTTACACTTCTCCCCAAGGACTCTGACCTTCATATCACTTTTTTTTTTTTTGTAGCTTTTTTTTTTTTTTTTTTTTAAGGAAGTCAAGATATCTTCAGCTTCTAAAAAAATATTTGACTGCAAGTAAAAGAGTTGGTGGTATGTAGAACAACTTCTCTATGGCAATGAAAAAGAATCTCTTGCCATCTCCTATGAACAACTGTGTTCAATCATGAGCTGCACTAGCATATGAACCTTTAGAGTAAGTTTCTAGTAGATTAACTGTAATGACTATGACCTTCAGAATTATGCCAACAGTTTCCCTGTGGGGACACGTCAGGTCAGTGCAGTTTGATTTTACAAAAGTATGTATCAAGTACAGATAGAACATACAGATCTTATCTACTCCATCTCATCTGCAGACTTTTTTTTCATTTATTAGATGAATGTATAAAGGGTATCTCTATATTGAGTATGTAACTTGAAGTAAGAATAATCACAAATATTTATGGCATGCTGTACAGATCTATCATTTTAGTGCTACGTGGTTTAAAAACCAGTTCTGCTCTCAATTCATCAAGAGCCTTCTTGCCCTCCTAAACCACTGCTTAAAGAAAGGTTATTGAGAGGGTATTCAGTCAACAATAGTCCTCTCTCTGTGAATGCTGTGATGATTTTGCTCATCCATTACCCAGAGCAAGGATTAGCCTGAACTTCAATGTTTTTTAAAAAGTTGTATCAGACATCAATAGCAGAGAAAACAAAATGAAACCCACAGTCTGGTTTACTCTGTATGAAACTGTCACGCGTTCATTAAAGGACACCCTGACCTGAGTCTGACCTTGGCATTTATAAACTCAGCTGAACTCGTGAGGTAACAGAGAAAAGTTAAATCGCTGCTGATCACATATCAAGAGGAGAGGAAAATACATTCCCAGACAGCAGAACAGAACTTAAAAATGCCTTCTACCTTCTGAAATGTGATATGGAAGAATTTGTTTCAAAACCACTTAGAGTCTACATATTGAATACTACAGAATATGTTAAAGACTTAGTGTATTTTAGATGAATATTACCTTGCATCTTGTTCTGTGTAAACCAACTTAGTATATTTCTCATTAGTGAAAGTGGTCATGAACACATTCTGGCATTTAAGGTTCTTCTGACTTGTGTAATACAGAACATCATTTGTAGCCCATTCTAAAACGAAAAGAAATGTATATAAAACTTGGAACAGTGTAAACACTATTACTGAGAGAAAATGGAGCTCAGTGAACATTGGACACTGTGTTGAAATCACTTCACAAGCGATTGTACGGACATTGCAGACATTGCAAGCTTCTACTGTGCAAACATGGCATTAAGTTCTAGCTTTCCTTAATGCTTTTAACTAGGCATTTTTTCCCAGTGTTGTAAATTCTTGTCCTGCTGAGGCAAACTGCTTACTAAACTATGTATCCTTGATGACATCTAGCAGTATAATATGTGGAACATCGGATGTGCTCTACTGCACTATTTTTGCTCTCTTCTTTAATATGCTATTAAAAATTGCTATTTGTTTAGGTTTAATTCTATGTATTTGTAACAGGAATGTAAAACCCCATTATCTGTGCTGGAAGAATTGACTGAAGTTGTGATTGTTTTCATTAAGTTCTGAATTTTATGATCACATCCTGTACTGAGCACTTTTATACTTCTCAGAAGAGTGCTTACAGCTATCAGTGACTTCAGTTGAAGCTGCAGAGGTATATTACCTACAGCTTCCCATAAAAAGATCCTCATATTGCAAATAGTTATGTCAGTAAATTTTTAAAGAAGTATGTTGAATTCAATAAGAAGAATGATGTGCAAAAGTGTTCAAACATACAAATGCATGCTTTTATAATAAAGGAAAACTTGTATCATGAAAGGAGTCACTCATTCGTATCAAATAACTTGTAATTTTACAGTGTAGGAGAACACATCTCTCAAATAAGAAACTGTTCAACAGCTATGAGGATTTAAACTGGAAAAAAAAAACTTGTTTTTTATTTTTATAAGTACTATCACCATTATTTGTAGGCTAAAAGCAATGTTGTACTGGAAGTTGGTGTGACCCATAGGATATTTATAAACAACTTACCAAAACTAAAAACATTTGGAATTACTTCTTCCACGATGGGAACATCACCGAGTTTCATAATAACACAGGCTGCCTCTTCAGAATTTTCACTTTTTAAGCCGATAGCCAGGTACCTCTCATCTGGTGAAACCCTGATCCGTTTAATAAAGGTACCAGAAAAGCCCATATCTTCAGTGCTGAATAAAATGCGAACGTTTCCTTTATCTGTTGCATTTTAACAAGTGTAAAAATAAATAAATAAATAAAATTTAAAAAATCCTGTAACTGAGGTGTGTCAAAATGAACAGTATTTTTTTATACTAGTATTTAATAAGTACACTTAGTACTGAAACCAAGGATTTCTTTCATGAGATATCTACAAATGCACTGTGTAAAAATAAAATTATGCATACAATAGCATCTGGTCAATGCTCTAAATTTTAAAGTGCAGCTTTTGGGTATTTTTTGTTTAGTTTATGTTTTCTTTATAATCTCTTGAGATACTTGACCTTTTTTAGCATTTGAAGTTGGGGCTCTGAGAGGTTGATTCTCAGTTCCTTTCCAGAAACTTACCTCAGTTTCAGAATACGCCATTCCGTTACTCTTTTCACCCCATGTTTTCAGATTCAGGATTGTGGAATTACCCATCTATTGTTAAATAACGTTATAAAAAAAACTTAAAATAAACAGCAAATATGCTTTAATGTAAAAAAGTGTACTAATTATGTATGCACAACATTTTCAACAATTGTAACAAGTTAAGAAGAGAAATCCCTTACCATCATCTGCTTTTGAACAAAATATGTCACCATTCTCCTCAAAGTAAACGTTTCCTCCAAATCTTATCTGCTCAATGCAAAACAAACATTTTTCCATTTAAGCTATAGATTATCTCCTTAGAATCCCGATATTCAGTGTTCTGTCCAGCAGAACAGTATGTAAATGGTAGAATACAGCACATATTTAATGCTGAATAGGGGGAAGAAGGAATTACATGCATCAGAAAGGTTATTTTAAAGTTAGGGTACTTAAGCTATCTATACATGCTCTAAATTTAGTGGATGGCTCAGATCACCTGCACTTGCTCCTTGTAGTCTTATTTTTCATCAGTTAGCAGAGGATTGTGTGATCTTCGTTTGTTTCTGACTATGGTGAAATTAAGGTCAACTATACTATCTAATAGGTATGAGCTATTCTTAATTTGTGTTGTTGCTATCCACAATTATTGAAAACTTCAACACTTGAAATTACCACAACAAAATAACTAATGAAACAGAACTTTATAACAGGAATGGCTTTGCTGCTTGTTCTTCATATTCAGTGACAAAAAAAGTTTGTATTTTTTGTCACTCACCCTTGGGCTTTCCAAATGGAGTGTATACTTGTTGTGCAGTTCTTCTATTTTTTCCTTTATTCTTTTTGTCATAGCTTTATAACTTCTTGAAATTTTATTCCAGTTTTCCTGCTCTGATTTCAGAAGATCTTTGTACAAAAGCTCTGATGCTGTTATGGATGTGATTTTTTTCCTTTTAAAATGGATTTTTGTCCCCTCCTGTTGAATAAGGAAAAAAACCACAATGGCTACAAACCAGCATTCTATACCCCAGTGTGAATGTACTGAGACAATGACATTTCCTGGGCTACAAACTGACAAATCAGCTTTGCGTTACTACAAGAGTATGAATATGGCTTTTGGATATTTAAAAATACTTTAAAAGTCTCTTTCAAGTACATGTATAAACTCCCTTAGCATCCACAAGTCTTTGGGAGGTTTCACAGGACATTTAGGAAGCTCATGATGATTCCCTTTCATTTGGAGAAGTTACAGTACACCTGAGAATAAAGCAGTCATCTAGAAGGATTTGGGAGGATAGTAGAGAATCTCGGTGACAATGTGAACATTTGCTCCAAAACAAACAGGCAAAGACCACATGATTGACTCCTGAAACCAGTGCTGTAGCCCAGCGTCTGTAATCCTGTTACAGACGGCCAGTGCAGCCACAGTTTCTCACACATCAAGACCTCAGCTATTTTCCTTGAAACATTTATCTACATTTGTGGCACAGGCATAGCAACTGCTATGTGATGGTTAGAAATAAGAGGGTTTCAACAAACATTTTAGATTTGATCTTTTGGTTATCTTTGAAGAAACACCTCAGCTTGAAACAGTTTTTGAACAACTCCACATCCATCTGAAAATGTCTAAGATAAAATACACCAAAGGCCAAGTTTTTTTGAGCCAGTTCATCTTAGGATAAGTGGATGACTTCTCTCTCTCTAGAGCCCTGATGTTTTCTCCTGACACTCTGAATCTTTCCAGAAAATACTTTTTTCCCCCTTTGTTATTTTTTACAAATTGTTACAGCAGAAAAAGCAACAAAAATGCAGACTGACATCAACACAGTATAGGGAATTTGAACAAACGTATGCATCCTTGAACATAACAGAAGCCCTAGCCTTTATTCTCTCGCTTTAAGCCCTTTAGGAAGAAAGTATTTCTTTGACTTCTGAAAAACAGAGTTGGCTTCCTTAACAGATGCATCAAGACAGTTGTTGACATTGCCTATACATAAACTGCATACCTTGCAGGAAAATAACCTCCATGACAGGATTCTTCCAGGTGGCACAGTGCTGTTGCATGAACTTCTTGACCAGTCGAGGATGTGGCATTTGTTCGGTTTTATTGTACTACAAAGACATAGTGCTGGAAGATGGTTATCCTTAGGATAGTATTTAACACTGAAGCTCAGCCCTCGGACAAAAGATTTTGCAATCCAACACATGATATCCAAATCCAGTCTTGACAGTCAACCTGAAATTTATGAACATCCCAAGCTCCTGATCACTTGCACTAAGTGAAATATACATAACATAATCTGAAGATAAAGCTTCATCTTTCGAAGATCATTAGGTAAATGAGAGCAGTAAAACTGAAGGTTTTACCAAGTGATAGGTTTATAGATTGAGCTTGCATGTTAACCTGCCTCTAAGAGTGTCCAGAGGCTGGCCACAAAAATGATCCAAGGGATAGGGCACCTTCCCTACAAGGACAGGCTGAGAAAGCTGGGGCTGCTCAGCTGGAGGAAGAGAAGGCACAAGATACAACAGCAGTCTGCCAGTACTTAAAGGAGGGTTATAAGCAAGAATGGGACAGACCCTTTGGCAGGGTCTGTTGTGACAGGACGCAGGGAAACAGTTTCAAACTAAAAGAGGACATAAGGAAGAAGTCCAGTGAGGCACTGGAACAGGCTGTGCAGAGAGGTGATGGATGCCCCATCTCTGGAGACATTCAAGGTTGGGGGGCTCTTAGCAACCTGATCCAGCTGTAGGTGCCCCTGTTCAGTGCAGGGCAGCTGGACTAGGTGGTCTTTAAGGGTTCTTTCCAACTAAGGCGATTCTATGTTGCTCCAACACATGGGTCCCGGCAGCTAGGAGCTTAGCTCTGCTGAAATTATCAGCGAAGAGCAAGAAAGATGTAACTATGCATCTGACTAAATGCTGCTTTCGGGAAGCTGGTTCTTTTCTGCTTTAAAAGCTCGTTATAACAACAGAATCACTTTCAGGAGGGCTGCTTAGCGGCAAAGAAACAAACCCCACTGCGCCTGTAACTCCGGAAGGGAGGACACCCCATGTGTTCCACAGTCCTCAGCCCGTTCCCTCTCACCCTCCCGCCGAAGGCCAGAAAAGCCGGCCCCACCCCGCCAGCTCCATCCCTCACCGCGACAGCACAGCCGTGCCCGGGCCGGGCGGCTCTTCCTCCGGCCGGGCTAAGATGGCAGCGGGCTCGAGCCGCTCCGGTTTCCCGACGGCACTGCCCGTAGCAAAGATGGCGGCGGAGGGCTTCAGCCAGTCGCTGCGGTCGAGCACGGCTGTCGTCAGTCTCTGCATGCCGCTTTCTTTAGTCACTCGCGTTTCACACTGCGGGGTTCCGAACCCGCGGAAGCCCTGTTTTGAGGCGCGCCCTCACCCCTACAGAGCCGCGCGCACTACAGCAGATGCGCCGCGCCCTCAGGCAACGTGCTACTGCCATTAACAAAGATGGCGCCCCGCTTCCTCTCTCTCAAGCCTTAGCCCGGCCGGTCCCAGCACCGCAGGGCCGCCGCTCCCCACTCCGCGCTCTCTCGTTGCCTCAACCCCAGGCGTTCCCGCATGGCTGAGGCTGCCGGCTCCCCGCGCCGCCCCGCCGCGGGCAGGTGCGGAGGGAGCGGTGCGGGAGCGGCGAGAGCCCGCTGGCGGCTGCTCGGACAGGTAGGGGGAGCCCGCGGGCGGGAAGGGGTCGTGGCGGGGCGGCGGGCGGAGCGGGACTCGCAGGGAACGGATTCCATTCGTGAGGGAGGGGTGCGGGTGTTCGCTGCGCTCAGCTCCTGGGCTTTTTCCATGTGTTTGTTAGTCTCGAGTTTGTAAATTGTTTGCGGCAGAATGAAGCTGCTGGGTAATGAAACAATTTGTAAGAAGGAGGGGCATATGCATTAGCTACTGCTCTTGTGTAGGGATGGAATGGTTCCAGATTATGCTGTAGCTGGTTAGGACAAAACTTCTGCGTGTAAAGACCAAATAAGTGCCATACGTCTGAGCGGAGTTTGCACTGCACCAGCTCTGAATTCGGCTTTTGGTGCGGCCAGGCTATAAACAATCAGGTACAAGAAATCTAGTGAACTTCAAGTAATTGTCTCTATAGGGAGCATTAATGTGTTCTTAACATACTGAGTGATAAAGTACCAAGGGACCTTAATTGAGATCTGTGGAAATCCAGGATCTGAAACAGAAGGCAGACTGGTCTGCCCTCTGGCTGGCTGGCTTTTTTCTTTTTTAATGTCTTGTCTTTTTACGAATGATGGATGGTGGGGTTTTTTTGTTTCTTTTTTTTCATGTTTTGATTATGACACAGAATCATTGAATCGTTTGTGTTGGAAGGGATCCTTAAAGGCTACCTAGTTCAACTCCCCTGTAATAAACAGGGACACCTACAGCTACATCACATTGCTCAGAGCTCCCCCAGCCTGACCCTGAGTGTCTCCAGGAATGGAACATCTACCACCTCTCAATGTGTTCCTGTGCCTCACTGCCTCTCTTCTGCCTAAGGAAGAAGTAAAGAACCTTATACTCTAAATCCCTCCTCTTTTAGTTTGAAACTGTTTTCATGTGTCCTAACAACAGACCCTGCTAAAAAGTCTGTCCCATTCTTTCTTATGGCCCCCCTTTAGATACTGAAATGCCACTCGTGAATCTCCCTGGAGCCTTCACTTCTCCAGGCTGATCAGCCCCAGCTCTCTCAGCCTGTCCTTGTAGAGAGGTGTTCCATCCCTTGAATCATTTTTGTGGCCCTCCTCTGGATGTTACATAAAATCATAGAATACTCCCAATTGGAAAGGACTGATAAGGATCAAGTCCATCTCCTGTTTCCACACAGGACCACCCAAAAATCAGATCATATGTCTGAGAGTGTTGTCCAGCAGGCTGTTAGCAGATAGCTCTCGCTTTTATTTATTTATTTATTTGTTTATTGTCTTTTGGAAGTACTGTATGTCCACTGGACTATGTAGGTTCAAAACAAGCAAGTAGACCAGAGCTCTTACAATGAAGCAAGCAGCAGTGGATTACTTGAACAAATCTGCGGGGTTATTGGGTTTGATTTCTTTTGAGTCTGAAGCTTGCAGATGGTATTTGAGCTCATCCCTGCCTCTAAGTTACGTTTCTCTGCAGTGACTGAGTTGTCCTTCCGCAGTGGGGATGTTGGTACAGATGCACCCTGCATCTTCAGGACTAGTGCTGAGCTGAAGCCCACATACATTGCAAAAACCTGGAGATACATCCATCCTGCTGGTTTTATAGGTCCCTGGCAGATACCCATTTAGAATGGCAGCATTCAGGAAATTTGGAAGATTCAAGTTCACTGAAAGGGCACCATGAAATTACGGAGGACCATTTTTCAAAGTTTTTGAAATAGAAGTTTAAGTAGATTTGTCACATTCTGTTGTTTGGTTTTTTGGTTTTTCTTTTTTTTTTTGGTGGTGGTGGTGGATTATGCAGAACAGCAGGCTGTTTTTGTAGACTGTAACAAAAATTGTGATGCTTTTAAGAGCTGACTAAGAAAAAATACTTTGATCCTAATGTGAAAATGCAGAGTTAAATATAAATAATGCAGCATATTCTTCCCTTGTGCTCTGCTTTCTCAGTTATATTTAGGTTTTTAAAAGATTTGACCTGCTGTTATAATTTTCTAATATTGGACCTCATAATTCTAGTTTGAGGCTGAGAGAAAAATGTTCTTTTGAGTGCTCAAATACTCATTAGATTTTCTACTAATCTAGAGAATATATTTTACAGAGTAGGTAGAAGATATCTCTGTAGAAAACAACAGCAGCAACAACAACAAAACAGAAAAATGTCACTGCTGGATTTTTTTTTTTTTCCTGTTAGTTAGTAATGTCTTGCTTTTGCTTTAAGAAAGCCTCCAAACAGCATTCTTTTCTAAAAATTAGGTCTTGGTGGATTTCTTTAGTTGTCAAGGTGTTTCATTTCAAGATATACTGCTATTATATTATATTCTGGTTGTCTTTTAATTCAGTTCTCCCTTTTTGATAGTTTTGTGATTTTCTTTGTGTTTGTATTTTTCTCATGTATAACATGAGTAGAAGAAATGGCGTGGACAGCACACAGCCATTTTTAATATTTTGATAAGAATGCCTGTGCCTTTCATATGCTGAGCCCTGCTGATGAAAAAAAGATCCAAAAGCAATAAGCCTGATGCATCAGACCTGCTATTAGAAACTAACAGCATAGCAAATACAATTGTTCTGCTCCTGTATGTAGTACTTCCAAGTATTCTACAAAATAATAGGTCATGGCACCAAATTGTAAGGCTGCTGGATCTGAGTGCATTTCCAGTTAAAGCACGGTCGACAAAGGTTGGGTGCAGCAAAAATCACTGACCCGTTATTTTCTTGTACGCATTCAGTATGCAAAGCTTCCATTTCTGGAGAGCTGCTTCTTGTTTGACTTCAGATTTAGCTCTAGTTGGCAAAAACATGAAAATTGCAGTGTGCTCCTACTCAATAGAGCTATCTCATGCAGCTCTATTCATCTCTAGTGATGAGTTTATTTTCTGCTCCATTTTTTCATCATTGTGGAGTGCTTATGCACCTTGATTTGAAAACTGTTGTGGTGATTATTTACATTTTTTTGTCCATTGTTAAAAGAAAGAACTTACATCCAGGACTTCTCTTCTCCTTCCACATCGCTGACCTGAAGAATTACCTTTTATGTGTGGCATGAAAATGCTAGTTGCCTTTGTCATGGTGGTACAGCTTGAACAAGCTGGGCACAGGCTTTCCCATATGGAGGAGTTGGTAACACACTCCTGGAAAGCAGGGTTGAGTGCAGCATGCTGTGCAGGACAGTGGGCTCGCATTGTCCCTTTCCTAAGCAAATATTTTAATTCTTGTAGCTACTACAAAAAATGTAAGTGGCCACGTTCTCTGCCTATGCTATTGCTTTGAATTCTTTGGCTTCTTAGTGCTGGATTTGGTGCTGTCAATGTATTTGAGGGTTGTGGAAAGGTTGGCCAATGATATGGGATTTCTAGTTGTAGTATCTCAAAGTCTGGAGACTGTTACAGGTGGCAAATTTGTCAGCAGCTGTGCAAAAGTGTCATAGCAGACTTCCGACGTAGTAAGTGGTTTACCTGGCAAAAACATAGCACTAGGGCACATGAGGATCATGGTTTGGAGCTGTCATTTAAATTCCATGGAAGACGTCTATGCTTTCTCATTTCATTCACAGGGACAGTGAGTGGGACTGAAATTGCATGGTGAAAGCCCTGCTTGGTCTGTCAGACTTCTGTTGTGGTGATTCAAGAGCAGGAGAGAACTCAATCTGCCTATCTAATTCTGGCATGGGTTTGCTGGAGGCAGAGTTTAAAAAGCAACTTTATTTGGGAACACAATACATTTGCTTTAGAGTTCTTGAGACATAATACATTTGTAATCCATTCTCTTGACTCCTATAGTGAATATTTTTCTCAGGCTTGACATGCTTGGACTAGTTATTCATAGCTATTAGCTAGCAACATAGCTGTTATGGTTGATGCCATTCTTGTCTTATAGTTAAAGAAGCCTGTATTTGTTCTTTTCTTGAAAAGTTTTTTTCTTAATGTTTAATTTATTCTTCATTTCAAAGGTTCTGAAGAAAAAGCACTTGAAAGATGTGCATCTCCAACAAGTGTCTGTGAGAAGATTCACGTCGTTCAATCTCTTTTCAGTAGATGGCCAGAATACTGAAGAGGAAACTGGGATCTGGGTTCAGTATAAAAGCATCTTTTATCCTGAGTATAGTGTGTCCATAAGGTAATCATCATTTAAGTACTTCCTAAGATATTGCACAGAGTATAAAATTTATTCTCATTCTTGAAGGGTTCTGTAAAAATAGGACGTAGTTTACAAATAAATTGTTAGATGTTATCTGTAGTTGTTCATTACAGAAAGCAGGTTGTCTGTGGTGGTGGTGTTTGCTTAGATTTTCTTTTCAGTACCTCTCAGTTAAGTGCCTGAGTTTGATATATATACTGATGATTGTACTTATAACAGAATGCAAAGACAAGCATTTGTTAAGTACTTACAGTGGCTTTCTGTTTTGGCATTCTCGTGATGTTAAAAAGGAGGTAAAAACTGAAGAAATTTATTTATTATTTATAATTTTAATCAAAATTTTTGGTGACGTGATATTATTCATCAAATTCTGAAGGCTTTTTATTAGTGATCTGTATTTTATTGAATTTTCTAGATTCCTGTGAAACTCAATGATAGTTTGGAAACCAACTGGTAAAACAAGAGAATATAAGAATTCCTCTTCGTACGGGAAGGGTTAATTTCTAATGGAAGAATAGGTTTTATATCAGAGTAGATAAAACAAAAGATAAAGAATACAATCTGAAAGAATTGTTAGTAAATTCTCAGTAACAAAACAGAAAACTTTATAGCTCTGTCCATTCATTACTGTGTTTTTTCTTTCTTGCTTTTTCGCGGTTTTATGCATACCTGTAACTTGGTTTTGCCTCAACAGGTATCACTGCAACAGTAACTTAAGCATCTCTGAATCAAAACTTGTTCTA